TCGTTTTTACTTACCTGAACACGTTGCGCAAATACTTTGGTTAGGCGTTGCTCTTGATACCTCGAGGTATTTTCACGATTCCTTGTAAGGATTGTCCGAAATACTTAAATTGGTGAAACCGGCAGAACTTTTGAAAATTAATGAATGAACATAGACGTATTATTTCCATTGTAACATTTAAGTTACCCCTGAAGAAGCGATTCAAAGAGAACGTTACAAACAAAGGGGTGGCTTCTATAATCGTGCAAGATCGCTAAAAAGTTCTGACTAAAATACATTTTTGTGAAATGTAGTGTACGGTTACACTTAAGTTTAATATTTCCTTACTTATGAAATATAAGATTAAAATGATTGATAAAGAGAAACCAACACATAAAATGATAATATTGTTTATTTTGCATACAATTTCTAAAACTTTTACATATTAATCGTATCTATGGAATATATACCAGAAGTTAAAGGCATTCTAACCACCACATCCTACCACCAGCAAGAAAATTAATACCAAAACTACAAGTAACATCTAAGAAAAACTGCTAAGCAATGACTGATCGCAATTCAACGGATATATCATCTAGTATGATGATTACAGAAAAACTCGTGGACAATTATAAAATAATCGGTCTAATTATTTGCATCACTATCGCCTGTATTGTGGCACTGTTGTGCAATCGCAGAATAAAGATAACCGTAATGTATGACCGTATCCTTATTAAATGTTCGGCCAAGGGATGAATATCGCAGAAAAGGACATGAACTTCAATTGTTGTAGTCATTATTTGCATTGTTTGCATCGCCATCACCTGCATTGTGGCAATGTTGACGAATCACGGAATGCAGTTATCCGTAATGCCCGATCGTATCCTTACTGATTTACCGACGGCTAAGATTACGGCAGCAAGTACCCTCAACATGATGGAAATAATCGTACTTGTCATTTGCATCGCCATCACCTTCATTGTGGCAATGTTGAGGAATCACGGAATAGAGTATGCCGTGCAGCGTGATCGTGTCATTATTGATTTCATTCCCCGTGAAGAAATTCCAGAGATATAATTACATAATTTGCCACTCGAACGGCATTATCAGTGGCTTAACTTCCTGGCTTACGGATCTGCCGCACGTTTTTCCCGATTTTCGAAAATAAAAATAGTTGAGAAATCGACTTCTCATCCCGCACCTCATCCGATACGATTTGATTGCGATGTTCTGTTTTTCTTGTCTGTTATACCTACGGAAACCACAGTCGATGGCATTTGCCGTCGAGCACAATATGTCACCGTTTCTGCCAAAGGAGATCATGCCTGTCGCTGGGCACAGGAACGATTCGTATTCCACACGTAATGGAGTTTTGTCATCGGTATTTCATATATTTTTAATCGCCTGTCGCATGGTTCCAGAAATTAAAGGAAAAAGAAAAGAAAAAAATGCGATCGCCTGTCAGTTTTTCTTTCGGAAATAAAATCCGTAAACCAAGGAATAAAATAATCGCGTCTTGACTCTGAAATGGGTAAGTGGAAACATAATCTTTTTTGTGTGTGAAACGATCGTAAAAAAAAAGAAAAAAAGAAATGTCTAAAAAAGTGTTCTAAAAATGAAATGTTCTAAAACATTTTCTGAAAATTTTTCTAAAAAATCTGTGAAACGGTCGGTTCATAAATGTAATAAGAGGATTAATGATGTGCTATTTTTAGAAATAAAGATTGTTAAGTATATTGCATTTTATTCCTGCCCTGAGTAAATGACTGGTAAAAATTATGAATCCCACTTTATGACTGCCACAATTCCAATATTTTGACTGTTGTTATGCTTTATTACAACAAAAGCCGTGTTACTAGTCAGACTGGGGAGCCCCGAACACGTGGTGGTACTTGCAACACTCCACTCGCATTCTGTGTAGTTGGTGGAGGGGGAACTGTGTTTTTTTGCTTGGCGTTCTCCTTCCGTTATTTCGCTTGTTGACAGTTGACCGCCCGGCCGACTAAGGAGGTATGATGAGCTCGCTTGCGTCAGCAGTTCGTGCTTGCAGCTCCGCACAACTCGTATAACGTCAGGTTCGGGTTTAGTAGTCGCATTAGCCGGGGAGAGTGACGTGGGGCTGGGGCTCACAAGAGGTTCTGGGTGAGGGTTAACGTTAAGCCTGTGGTATTCTGAGCCTCTGTCCGTCAGCTGTATGTCTCTGTCTCCCGTCAATGAACTGTTATATGTTACCAAGACGTCAGCTGATGCTTCACTGGTACTCAAGGTTACTGCATCCTGCCAGACTCGATTTATCTACACACTATCGCTCACATGCCACGTTTACTGTGTGTGTATGCTTTTGTGTGCGTTTGCGTGCGTGTGTGCTTGAATGCAAGTGTATTTGAGAGAGTGTATGTGTATGTCTTTGTGTCATCCCCTACGAAGGGGAATGGGTCATCACATCGCACGGCGGGTGTTGGTGGACATCCTCAGCTGTTGCACTCACCGACAGACGTTCAATCTCAGAAATGGAATTCTTCAAAAATAGTGTTTGCGCTCACATCACATGACTGAAATAGATGTATATCTATTAGTCTAGACATGCATATCTATCATATACATAGAGATAAATGTACATATATCTGTTAGATGAACGGATATGAAGGTATTTCTGTGTATACGCATATTTGTATAAAGAAGATTCACTGGGTCGGACCTCGCACAATGCTAACAAACCGGATGATAATCAGTCACATAGATCCGTACGGTGTCGCAAACTTATCAGCTGACTGGAATGGGCTGCCAAGGATAACGTATCCAGACTTTCTCCTCTAAAGAGAATGTTTGAAAAAAAAAAAAAAATGAGCTGATCACATCCTGATGTTGTCCAAGTCTTTCCTTCGAGATTCTGATTCAGGCGAGAAAGACACACACGTAGTCTTTCCTCACTCAATTCTTGTCTTTTCTTCTTGATTTCGAATTATTTTCGGCTAATAAAATTCCAAATGAGACTCGATTTTGCCGGCTATGACATCCACAGACACGACATTCACCATAGTCGATTAATAAATCCACAGAAATAAGAGAAGCAAATGGAAGGAATTGACACATTCAAGCCTCCACTGCCTTCAAAATGGCGGACGCCTTACTGGTGACGTCACGTGAAAACTATCTACATATAATCACATCCATTTAACATGTAGCACATATATCTCAACAAACAGATTTCCGTGTACAAAAATCTTTTACGTTGTTACAGGTGCGAAAGTTTGGGGCTATTCAACGGAGCTCCGAACCATTTGTCCAGTCGAACGTTCACTTGATGGTGTAGTCACGTGCACGGTGCCTCGGTGCCCCATTGGGAGTAAGGATTTTGGGAAGAACACACGCATCACGCAAAGCTGGTTTGAAATTGTAAGTAAAAAGAGAAAAACAGTAAACATTTTGTTTGTTCGTTTACACTGGTGTCCATGAGAGTCAAGTGCTGCATATGAAGGTAACCAGAGGGCAGATTATTAAGTATTTAAGGATATTTCAGTAGACTTCTGGCCAGGAAGGTTTGGGTGAGAGGCTGGTGATGTTTTCAGCCAAATCGCTCTCAGACGCTTCTCTCCCCTCCTTCACACTAAGGAATCCTCCTCCCTTTTAATTCGACATGGCAATAATATAGGTAGAAAGATATAGATATAGG